ATTTAAGTCACGTTATCGAGGCAATTTCATCATCTGATAAATTAGAATTTTCAAGTGATGGATTTAAAGTAAATATTATATTCTGTTTTGATATAATTTAATAATGATTAATTATTATTGTTAGATTCGTACAAAACACGATCCTTTAAAATGGCCTTTATTAAATCAGGGAGGAGACCAGAGTGATCATTTTAATGTTCAGAAGTTAGTTCCTCCACCACCATTACCCAAAGTTCATTTTAAAGAAAACAATGATAATTTAAATCCAACTGTACCCGAATTTGTTCCTCAGGATATTTTTGGTAAGAAATGTACACTGATTAAAAACTTCCGCAGATTAATTAATTTTTATATGTATAGATAATAATAGTAACATAGGTCCTAATACAACACCAATACAAAATGAAGAAACAGTTAGTGAGAATAATCAGAGTGATGTATCTTCTTCGAAAACTAGTGCCAAATCAACTGCTGCAGCAAGGGAAAATACTAATAAAGAAATAAATGATAATAGAGAGATGCTTAATGGAGATGGCAAGGTAAAAATCGTTTCAGAAGGTGACCTAAACGATAGAAAACAATCGGATACAATTCAAAGTTTTAACGAGGACAATTGGTGCGAAGTTAAACGCAAAAATAGGGAGAATAGGGTTCGCCGGGAGAGTCGTAGGGAAGATTTAAAAATTGAAAAGGAAGAATTGGAGTTTAATTTTGACGAAGAACTCGACGCAGAAGTTCCAGCCGGTCGGCAGAATACATTTAGCAGCGATTGGTATATTTTTATTGTCATATGTTTTTAAAAACCTTTAACTGATTTTTTTAGGGATGATGATGACCAAGACGATGTCAGTGATCGAGATATCAGTAAACTTATTATTGTTACTCAAACACCATCTACAAGAGCTCCTAAACATGAAGGCTATGATCGAACGGGGGACTGGACAACTAGAGTGAAGATGACACAAGATTTAGAACAAGCGATTAACGATGGCCTCTACTATTATGAGGAAGATTTATGGAACGACTATGACTATGTAAGAACATTTTGGTAGTACTAATTAAGACACTAATTAATCCTACTGTTTTATTTAAGGACCGAGTTTCAAGTAATAGTTACAGGACTGTGAATATTATAAGCCAAGAAACGTTCAAAAAATTTGCCCCTCCTGCGCCACACAAGCCAAATCCCGAAGTTCCTCCACCACCACCACCTGTAACTGTATGTTATACTACATTTACCTCAGAAGTTATTTCAATCATAATTTTCTTTAGATCATACAGCCATCGTCTCCTAAAGAAAAGTCCTCAGTACCCCAGAAATCTTACAAGAAAAAGCACGATGCTCTTCATAAAAATACGCCCCGATTTTATGCCGTTAAAAAAGACGAAACGCCCGATCCTCATACTCCCAGGAAGAGGAAAACTAGACACTCAAACGATCCTCCTATTGAACATCATGTCGGCTGGGTAATGGATGTTAAAGAACATCGTAATAGAACATCCTCAATAGGGTATTAATTTTTGTTTATGATATTTTCCTCAAACATAGTTGTAATTAAACGATTGTATTTACAGTAGCAGTATTGATGCGAGTCCTAGTGAAGCAATTTTGGCTACAAGTACAGGTAGCGTGCCCCAACAGTTACCACATTTCCATCATCCTTCTCATGCCCTTTTGAAAGAAAATAATTTCACACAGCAAGCTTATTACGTACCCTTGAGGTATATTTTACTAATACATATTTATAAAAGTTAATACACTTTTATATTGTTTTGTGCTCTCATTTCAGAAAAAAGGCCTTGCATCAAAACAAGGTTCTGTAGCTGAACATGAAGAAGATTCTTCAGATAAAAAAAGAAAAACTAATAAACAGAAATGGGTACCACTAGAGATAGACTTAGCAAAAGGTAATCCAAGAGAAAATTCTCCAAAAAAAGGGGAAAGACACAATTCAGATGTGCATATGTCGGATAATGAGCACCTCTGTTCATATGCAAAAGATAGTGACAGTGCACTACCTAAAAAAAACTTGCCAAGAGAAGGCAAAAGTCGTAGTAGGGGAACAAAAGTGTTGCATTATAATAGATCAAATGCTAGAGCAAATAGTGAATCAAAATATTCTAGTAAAAGGAATGAAAACTTAGAGGTGAGTCTTATGTAACAGTATCCAGAATGTTGTATTTTATTTCAAAGTACCATAGTTTTTACTTTTTCTTTTTCCAGCACACACAATATGAAAGAGCTGATGGTTTTTTGATGCCATATATGGGCATGTTTTATTTTGGTGGTAACAGTTATAATAATCTGGATAGTCCCACTTTAAAAGACTATATTAAAAAGCAGATGTAAATTTTTGATTTTTAAACATAAANGTATTATGTAAACGTACTGATAATTTTTTTGTAAATTTCAGGGATGATTTTCAACCATGTTCTAGTGTACCTACATCAAGTCATCTTCATCGTCAAGCTAATCGAACCCGTACTTACTCCGTAGGCTCAGGACGCACCCGTAGTGGCCATGGTCCTTATGGAACGTGGAGACAAAAGAAAGGTGATGGTAAGACCTAAATATCCTTTACAAGTACAGTAACACCCCGAAAATAGGAATAGCTGGGGTCGGGAAGAAAACCTAAATTGAAAATTACGCAAGTCACAAATATAATTGTTATATCAAATTATTTACTGGAATTTATAGGTAGATGAAAAATAACATGTATCCTAATTCACGTAAATCGGGATATTACTGTACAATTACTTCTAGTGCATAGTTTTTGTAATGTTTTTTGTTTTCATTCTTTAGAAGAGGAGTAAATTGGCTTCCAAGTTCTGCAAAGAAAAACTGTATATCACTTTAGTTAAGACAAATAATAATAGTTTTTGTTTAAAGTACGTTTTTTTGTAAATATTTTATCGTTCAGTGCCATTGCTTTTTGTGCGTATATTTTCGGACTTTACACTATAACGTTGTCTAACATTATTGCTTGATAAAAGTTAACAAATAATAATTACAAAACCTCAAGTTTTCAATGAATTATTAAACTTGCTTCTTTAATAATGTTATTGAACGATATAGTTCAGTTCCGCTTTTGGTTTCTAATCACAAAATGGCATTATTTGCTAATGTTTATTATTCTCCCAAGTCACATACTATTCGCTAAAAAACAGTTTTACTTTTGTCCAGCAATTTTCTCAATGAAGCTTTTAGTTTTATTGAGAAATTGTTTTTCTCTTCTCGTTTCAGACGATTTTTGTGTATGTGGGAGGCATTGAATTACTTACTAATATTTTGACTTATTATTAGCTTTTCATAGTGTTCGTAGTATTTGATAATTTTTTTTATTGTTATTCACGTTTTAATCTCCAGGGCTTTTCGTCGATAAGCGTTTTTGTTATACATACTACAAAAAAATATAATAAAAATAAAAAAGGGATATTATACAAAATAAAAATACAAAAAGTTCTGCAACGGGCTCCAAGGCTTAAAAGAGAAAACAAATATATATTCCTGTCACATACGTGTGATTTTTTTTGTGTTAACTATCTGTTGTAAATATTTTTTTTATAGACCTACGCTATTGTTTCTGAAATTGCTCAAAATTCAGAAAATAAATTCTATATTTTATTGAATGACGTCATGATATATGTGTACACTTATCAACTCTTTTAGTCGAGTCCCGTAAAAAAGTTTTCGTTTATTGCTTACTGTTTTGTCTTATATTTGTAAGTTGTTTATATGATGTGTTTTTTAAAGTATAGTAATAAGGCTGAAAAGTGTATAGCAGTTCGATTTATAACTGAACATTATTAAAATAATGTATCATGTACAAACTGGAAAATAGTGTTTAGAAATACAGATTGTCAAACTATGATTTTGTTTTGCCTGATATATAAATCGAACTGCAACTTGCTCTAGTTAAGGTACTTGTTTCATAATTTTCTTTTTGATAACTGATAACTAATTACTTATTTTTATTTTGATCTAAAATGAACATTCACATCAAAAGTTGCCTATCTTATCACAATAATATTTCTAGCAGATCTATTGAAAAATGAACATTATGTAGAATAATCGTTATTAGCTAATGTGGGGGATACTTAGTGATAATGCATAATGTATTAGCTAATAACATAGATAACAATGGCAGTAAACTTATCATTATAATATACGCTTTAAAATGTTTGTTTTGATTTTCAATATTTACAAAGATATTTTTGATTTTGAGTTTCAAAGAGATTCTATAAAAATTAAATCTTTNCTAGTGAAGCAATTTTGGCTACAAGTACAGGTAGCGTGCCCCAACAGTTACCACATTTCCATCATCCTTCTCATGCCCTTTTGAAAGAAAATAATTTCACACAGCAAGCTTATTACAGATACAAACAGCGTTGTCTTAAAGGTAAAAATACAGAAGTGTTTGTTCTCTTATTATTTTATTTCGATTTTAGAACGAAAACGATTTGGTAGTGGACACTCAAGTGAAATGAACACTTTATTTAGATTTTGGTCGTTCTTTTTAAGAGACAACTTTAATCGTGCAATGTATAATGAATTTAGAACGTTAGCCCTCGAAGATGCTGAAAATGGTTATAGATATGGACTAGAGTGTTTGTTTCGGTTTTATTCTTATGGTTTAGAATGCAAGTTCAGGCCCCATCTTTATGAAGACTTTCAACAGGAAACTATTAAGGATTATGAAAACGGACAGTTATATGGACTTGAAAAATTTTGGGCCTTCTTAAAGTACTATAAATACAGTGCTAATTTACAAGTTGACCCTCTTTTAAAAAAGTATCTATCCAAATTTAATAGTATAGAAGACTTCAGAGTTGTAGAAGTATGAGCAAAAATTTTAAATTAATGTTTAAGTTACAAATAATCTAATTTTAGCCTAAAATAAATGAGGTACTTAAGGAACAGCGCTTACAAGCTATTGCGAGAAAAGAAAGAAATCGAAGTATTTCCGAAAGTAATATGCATGCCAATGCTGGACCTAGTCAGTCTGATGGAAATATACATGGACGTCGATTATTTGATATTTCCAGGAAAAGGTGACTAAATATTCTCTGTAGAATGTATTATGTAAACGTACTGATAATTTTTTTGTAAATTTCAGGGATGATTTTCAACCATGTTCTAGTGTACCTACATCAAGTCATCTTCATCGTCAAGCTAATCGAACCCGTACTTACTCCGTAGGCTCAGGACGCACCCGTAGTGGCCATGGTCCTTATGGAACGTGGAGACAAAAGAAAGGTGATGGTAAGACCTAAATATCCTTTACAAGTACAGTAACACCCCGAAAATAGGAATAGCTGGGGTCGGGAAGAAAACCTAAATTGAAAATTACGCAAGTCACAAATATAATTGTTATATCAAATTATTTACTGGAATTTATAGGTAGATGAAAAATAACATGTATCCTAATTCACGTAAATCGGGATATTACTGTACAATTACTTCTAGTGCATAGTTTTTGTAATGTTTTTTGTTTTCATTCTTTAGAAGAGGAGTAAATTGGCTTCCAAGTTCTGCAAAGAAAAACTGTATATCACTTTAGTTAAGACAAATAATAATAGTTTTTGTTTAAAGTACGTTTTTTTGTAAATATTTTATCGTTCAGTGCCATTGCTTTTTGTGCGTATATTTTCGGACTTTACACTATAACGTTGTCTAACATTATTGCTTGATAAAAGTTAACAAATAATAATTACAAAACCTCAAGTTTTCAATGAATTATTAAACTTGCTTCTTTAATAATGTTATTGAACGATATAGTTCAGTTCCGCTTTTGGTTTCTAATCACAAAATGGCATTATTTGCTAATGTTTATTATTCTCCCAAGTCACATACTATTCGCTAAAAAACAGTTTTACTTTTGTCCAGCAATTTTCTCAATGAAGCTTTTAGTTTTATTGAGAAATTGTTTTTCTCTTCTCGTTTCAGACGATTTTTGTGTATGTGGGAGGCATTGAATTACTTACTAATATTTTGACTTATTATTAGCTTTTCATAGTGTTCGTAGTATTTGATAATTTTTTTTATTGTTATTCACGTTTTAATCTCCAGGGCTTTTCGTCGATAAGCGTTTTTGTTATACATACTACAAAAAAATATATAAAAATAAAAAAGGGATATTATACAAAATAAAAATACAAAAAGTTCTGCAACGGGCTCCAAGGCTTAAAAGAGAAAACAAATATATATTCCTGTCACATACGTGTGATTTTTTTTGTGTTAACTATCTGTTGTAAATATTTTTTTTATAGACCTACGCTATTGTTTCTGAAATTGCTCAAAATTCAGAAAATAAATTCTATATTTTATTGAATGACGTCATGATATATGTGTACACTTATCAACTCTTTTAGTCGAGTCCCGTAAAAAAGTTTTCGTTTATTGCTTACTGTTTTGTCTTATATTTGTAAGTTGTTTATATGATGTGTTTTTTAAAGTATAGTAATAAGGCTGAAAAGTGTATAGCAGTTCGATTTATAACTGAACATTATTAAAATAATGTATCATGTACAAACTGGAAAATAGTGTTTAGAAATACAGATTGTCAAACTATGATTTTGTTTTGCCTGATATATAAATCGAACTGCAACTTGCTCTAGTTAAGGTACTTGTTTCATAATTTTCTTTTTGATAACTGATAACTAATTACTTATTTTTATTTTGATCTAAAATGAACATTCACATCAAAAGTTGCCTATCTTATCACAATAATATTTCTAGCAGATCTATTGAAAAATGAACATTATGTAGAATAATCGTTATTAGCTAATGTGGGGGATACTTAGTGATAATGCATAATGTATTAGCTAATAACATAGATAACAATGGCAGTAAACTTATCATTATAATATACGCTTTAAAATGTTTGTTTTGATTTTCAATATTTACAAAGATATTTTTGATTTTGAGTTTCAAAGAGATTCTATAAAAATTAAATCTTTTTAGATCACTAATTTCTACAGATAACTTCTATTTTATTGATAAAATCAATTCCTATCTATGTTACTAGTCAAAATTTTTGTGTTGCAGCATTTACATAAAAATTTTTAAATAAATGCAATATACAGGGCGTTTCAGGTACTTATACGAGTTATTAGAATTTACCTAAACTGTTTTTGATGTCTAATTTTCGAAATTTGATTAAACTTCTCAAAAAACATCTGTCTACTTATTCTTAATAATTATGAGCCCAAGTTATGTTGTTCTGAAAAAGTAATAGGTACATCATGTGACAGCCAACGAACGGTTGGCTTCACTCTACTGCAAAATGAGTAAATACATACATATCAATTAAAAAAAGGTTCATGCCTGAAAGACCCTGTTAATAATTTTTCAACATATATACATGTATTGTCCAGTCTCTTTTTGTGTTTGTATCTATTATGTGGCATTTTCTTTTCGCGCAGAGAACGAAACAATCGACCGTATTCCTTTTACTGAAGCCTGCAAAGAAATTAGTAGTCTCAAAGTGTAAGGCTGAATAAATATATGCAAACCTTCTTTTTTGACCCATTTAAGAAATCCTTATACATATCAGATCTTAAATATCTTGAGTAACTATCACTCTTCATCAGGTGATATACATGTGCCTAGAAAATAATATCTTTTGGTATATTTTTATTTGATGTTTTCTCCTGTGCTTACTGCGGCAGCGTCAAATACCCAACGATCTGGATTTTCCATATTTTTTTTAGTTATTTCATAAGATTGAGAATCTACGTTTATAAGACAACTGGCATCTGGAGCTAAAAATTCGCTCCATATTTCTTGTGCCTTTTTATTTACTTCACTGAGCGGTAACGCTTTTAAATCTTGAACTGCTTCCCAAAATCTGTAAAAAGAAATTGGTGATTAAAAACAGTTTGAAATACTGGTACTACTATTGACCTTAAATTTTCTCCACTGAACTCTTTATCCAAAAATTTAATAAAATGTTCTCTGCCAACAGGGTCTTGAAGTAATTCATGCAGTCCAAAAGACCAACGTTTTATTCTTCGTGCAGATATGTCTTTTGTTTGTTTATCTTGATCCCAAAGATCTATTGCGTCAGTTATCCACGGATTTGGATATTCTTGTGTTACAAAGAAATAATCAAATTCGACATATTGCTCATAATATGTAATATACCTAGAAATAAAGAATACTACATATTGACAATGAGGAAAAAGTAAGACCAAGTTTGTTACATTTCTGCTATTTTTGAAACTTTAGTGTTACTCCTTTCTAGTCTTGACTTTAAGAATGCTATCTGTTTTTTAATCACTTCCACTGATTCTCTTTTATTTGTACCAGCAGATTCAGGTGAAATAAAATGTAAAAATTTATTTGCTTTAGAATGTTTATTCATTTGGCAAGCCTTTTTAATATCAATTTCAGTGGTATTCACACAACCAGGCTAGAATGGATTCTTTTAATAACACTTTTTAACTTGGAAATTTAATTTTATTTACCATAGGGCGATGAACATCCCAAAAAGCACGTTCTTGGCTATCAAGAACTTTTCTCTCCAATTTATCCCTTTTCTTATCTACTTTGCTTTGTGCTTCTGCTTGCATGAATATAAATTCCCACTTCCTAGAGAACATTTTTTGTAATCTTGCAAGGTTTTCAGCTTCATAATCAGCAAGTTCTAGTCTAGTCTTATTTTGCATTGTACGTTTACATAAATACACAGCTAAAATTAATTCAGTAAATATCAGATACTACTGTATTGAATGCATTACCATAATCTGTATTTTCTGGTTCCCAACAATTTGAAGGCCAAAAATATGGTGTTTGAAATCTATAAAATGCACTGTCGTTTTTTAAAGTAAGCATGTGATCATCTATTGGGAAAAAGTACCCATGAGCTGCCATAAGATGAGCCAAATGTAATGCTTCTGTTTGATCTTCAACATCCAAGTTTTTCATCATCCACATAATTAAATCTGTACCAGTAAAAACAGATGGAATTTTAGAAAGAAAACTTTTTACAGTTTTTACTGGTACACCCTTTATTTCATCTTGCATTTTTTCAATTATTTTCTCCATCTACAAAGTATTCATTAGAAAGTGAAGAAAGAAAGTGAAGAAAGAAATTGGTAGATAACAAACCTTACGATACAGTAAACAGTTAGGTAATTCATCAGAAGACAGTGGTTGATATGAACCACTAGTCAAGTTGTCCTTACTAGATCCAGCATAATCTTTATTAGTAGAGTCAGGCTTTCGTTTTATATGAGCCTTTTCTGAGTTCATTGTAACCATATCAACAGAATTCTGGAAGGCTTTGTACCTTCCTGAGTGTGTTCTTCAGGGTTTTACCTGTTCAGTGACAAATTGAAATATTTTCTTGTTTGTGCAAAAGGGATTTTCTGATGCTTATTAACAAAATGTTCCATTTTAATATAAGACAAATCAAGGCCTAAGAGATGCTGCATATATGAGAATATCTTGGCATACACAAAAATGCTGGGGGGGCCAATTCATAAACTTCTTGCCACTTTACAATTATTAACTGCACTGCACTTTTTTGAGTATGATACAAGATAGCAAATCTTATTTGTCCTTTAAATGTTTTGTATGTAGTCGAAAATATAATATTGAATTATCGAACTTTTTTCGTTCCATGGATGACTGTTCTTCTTTTCCTTCTTCATGGTTTATTTTCTGTGATTTACGTCTTTAGCTCTAATGAATTAACAAAATAAAAGAAAAATTTAAAAGTTCTCTTCTATTTCGTATAATTAAATATTGTATACAGTAAAATTATCATTCTGATAAATAATTCCTATTTAAATTAGATTTTATTTTAAAAATGACAATAAAACTCTGTATTGTGAATTATTAGACTTAACTGCGTACACGTATGTATAATGGAAAGCCTATACTGCAGGCGAATGGAGGCGCCATAGACATTTATATTTAATTCACGTGATTTGTTTATCAGCTGTACTGGTGTACAAGTCTTGTGATTGTACCTGCTGTATAGTTGAAGTGCTGTGCAAAATGAATCAAAATACATTCATTTCGTTTTTTATTTTAGTTTCTGTAATATTTTTTGTTGTAACTGCAACGAAAAATGTTGTTCCTGTCTTCTTATGGGAAAAGAATAGGTAAGGATTTACCTATAGTTCACGCCCAATACAATACTTACCTGACAAACAGGTTAAAATTAAAAGCAATACGATTCTCATGCCATTTAATTTTGTAGTAACGTTCCTCTAGTTCCTGCTCTACAACGAATTAATGCAAAAAGTTTTGGTAATATCCTTTTACAACATTTTCATGAAGATAACCACCTCTTAGTATTTGTGAAAGATTCTGTAAGTTATTGATGATATCTATTCATATTATTTAGTAATTTAATTGTTATACCTTTCAAATAGTTAAGTAAAGAAGATTTTAATGCACTGAAATCTGGAGATGAAGTATCAAGAACAAAATTGGATACTGTCAAAGATGATAATGCTATAAGTTATTTCCCATTTGTTCTTGATCCTGTTGATGCAGTCAAACAAATTTATCCTACTGCTCTGGAGATTCCACTGTCCAAACTTTCAGATGATATTTTATTAAATAATAAGATCATTATTGTAAGATTGGATGACCCTCAGAACAAAGAGGATAATTCGCAAAACTTTAAGTACCATGGTAGCTATAACATTGTATGTTACTGAAACTTGATTGATAAATTACGTTTTTCAGCTTTAAAGGCCTTTGAAACATATGATAAAGTTGCTCAAAGCCATAAACATGTAACCGGTATTCTAACTGCCCTGAGAAGTTCTTGGGTAAAAGACAATTATTTGTATTCTTACAGGAATGGTTTTTAAAGAAACTTTTTTCAGATTTCATCAGAAGATAAGGCATTGAACAGAAAAGTAAGGGCTACTGAAGATGGAGAAGCTGATACACGTATTGTATTTAAAACAAACAATACTATTCTCTATGTGAATTCTCCCATAATTTTTTATGCTAACGACCAAGTGTATGTCTTCTCTGTATTATTTTTCTGTATAATCACTATCTGATTTTAGAACATCCATCTCAGCCGGCAGTAGTTTTAGTGACCAAGTCAGTAATAGTACAATAGTTGCTACATTAACAGGAAGTGCAACAACTATAACGTAATAAATGATATATAATTTTGCTGATGCATATTCTGATTTTGTAATTTTAGGTTTTTCTTTGAGTTAATAAGTGGTTATTGGTATTTGAACAATTTAACAGTTGTTTCTAGTGGTTCAGAAAGTGATTTAGCTGTTAAAGATGTTTATGCCCCAACTGGCTTTTCATATGCTTGCAATAATTCTGTTTTTTATGAATATACAAATCAAAATTACAATTTAAGTTTACCAGGATTTCAGGTAAAGTTATTCTGCTAATTTGTGTTATTGTTCTGTGGTTAAACTAAATTTTTTATTGAAAGCAGGGTCTTATATTTATATAATTTTTTTAGATTCAACCATTTTTTGGTTCTAATAATAGTGGATCTTTTGGGGATCCTTACAACTGTGTTGGATTTACAAGTATTCCAATTTGGTCTGGTCTTTTTGTTACATTTATTTTAGTCTTAATAATGACTTTTGGTCTAATATTTATCTTTGATATTAAAACAATGGACCGTTTTGATGATCCTAAAGGGAAAACTATCACTGTTAATGTTACAGAGTAAAATCCCCTACCATTTCGAAGTAGTAGTCACAGAATTCATGTAGAATTGTTATTGCCACTTTTGGTGGACCTTTAGGATTGTGATATTGTTTCAAACAGCATTTTCAGTTAATTACATGGATATTTCATTTTTGTAAATAGAGTATTACAGTGTTATATTATTTAAATTATTATGTTAAATATTGAACTGTATAAATTATTAATCTAAAAACTTTCATTAAAAGTGCCCTTAGATGTTGAAAGGTTGACCGCTAGACAATAGACTTTCGAAAAGTTTTGCGTGTACAAGTATTGGACACTTAATAGTATTGTTGGCTCTATAGTACTCCTTGCCTCTTAACCTGTAGACACTTGTTAAAGTAATTAAAAAGACCTATTTTGTAAAATATACCTCTTAGCGAAATAAATTGATGTAATATGTACGTTTCGTATTAATATTTTTTATAATTATATAATATAAATACAGTGCTAATTTACAAGTTGACCCTCTTTTAAAAAAGTATCTATCCAAATTTAATAGTATAGAAGACTTCAGAGTTGTAGAAGTATGAGCAAAAATTTTAAATTAATGTTTAAGTTACAAATAATCTAATTTTAGCCTAAAATAAATGAGGTACTTAAGGAACAGCGNGAGCGATTGAGTACCCAAAAGTCAATTTCAAAAAATTAGTTTTTAAAAACTTTTGAATTTTATTTTTTTAAATCTATGTTGTCTATAACACACGTAAGATGGTGCAACTGGTTCGTTGTCTCCGCCATAGATCTATTAAATGACTATCAATTATCTATGGAAATAGATAATGTTTTATTATTATTAGTGTTATTAAATTCAAATTACCGTTTTTTATATAATTCGGTTATAATATTTCTGTTTTTATATTTTTCGTTTTACAAGATATTTTGTGCTTTGCTATACTATGAAAGGAAGACATATATAATGCATGTTTAACCTAAAAAATTGTAAGTGACTGTATCAAAATATGAAGAGGTTATCAATTTATGTTTTTTAGTGCTGTGGACGAAGGAACTGGTCAATATATTACTATATTCTGTTTAATTTAAATGGAAAATTCGCTTTATGCATATGTTTAAATAATGGCCTTAAAAACTGCACTTTTGGAAATATTAAGTTGTATGCTTAGTCCTGATGCAGAACTTCGTCGTTTGGCTGAGGAAAGGAATAAAGCATTAGAAGTTACAGAAGGTTACATTAATTTGCATTAATGTCTTATATTATATGACAGTACTCTCCATTTTAGAATATGGAATTTATTTGCTTGAAATTATTTTGTCTTCTGATGAAGCTACAGAAGAACGACAAATGGCAGCAGTGTTGCTGAGACAATATGTGCATATTCATTGGTGTAAAGACGAGAAAGAGTTTCTTCTCCCAGTTGTATCTGATTATGTTAAAGATAAAATAAGAGCTTTATTACCATCTGGTCTGTCTGTAGCTGTGATACAAAATACTGTTGCCATAACATTGGCATATATTGCTTATTTTGATTTTCCACAGCAGTGGTCTGGAGTAGTTAAAGTTATTTCCTCCAAATTAGAATCTTCTAATTTAGATGAATGTTTAGGATCACTACAATTTTTCAATGACTTTGTTAGTATTTGTAGCATAGAGCAGCTTAGTTTGTGCTATAAATCTGCATTGGAAGGATTATATCATATTTGTCAAAATGAAGAGGTAAGAAAGTATATTAAAATATAAATCAATCGAACATAAAATAATAACTACACTGTCTTTATTTTTTACAGAAGTTCTCAACAGTTGAACGGTCTGAGGCTATCTCTGTCTTTTGTAAGATAGTATCTGTCTTATCAACTGATAGCAATATTCGTCCAGAGTTACCAAATATTGTAGATAAATTTTATAATCTCTTCAGTGCACAGCTAATTTCAGCCTATAGTCCAAAAAGCGATTTTAGACTCAAATCTCAAATAGTTAAAACTTTTACTTTACTTTTATATCAAATAACAGAAATAACACAAAATACCATTGTTCGCCTTTTACCAAGTATTTGGGAAATATTTTCACGTTGTGGAGAAGCTTATGTTCAAATACTATCATTGACTTTAGATGTTCCGCGAGATGTAGGGGAAAATACCAACGGAAAACCCCTGTTTTTTAAATTAATAAACGGCATTTTTAATTTAATACAAACACTTGTAACTACTATGAAAGGTGTTTGTATTTCAAATTCACTATACGATTTTTTACATTATCTCTTCATATTTATGGCTGTTACTCCAGAAACTGAAGAAAAGTGGAAAACTGAAGAAGAATTTGTCGCTGACGATATAGAAGAGGGAAGGTTGGACCATGATGTGCGATATGATGCGCGATGTCTTTTAACGGTAAATTTTTATCTAAATATAGCGTAGATAATGATGAAAAAGTAGAAAAAAACCAGTTAATAGGTACACAAATTCTCTATATGTTGTATATATTTAGTTGCTGACATATGATATGGAGAAAAACTATATGGCAAATGCCCTAGCTACTGCTGTAGATAGACATATGGTACTAGCAGGTGATATGAACGAATCGTATTATTGGAGAATTATGGAGAGCCTGATGTACGGTTTAGGATCTATAAGCAATTATGTAATTAAACTAACTAAACTTGAACACACCAGTTTTGATATCAATAACTACCTCACTAAATGGGCTGAGATTCTTCAGCGATGCCCTTCTTGGGTTCTTCAAGGGCGAATTATGTTAGTCGTTGCTCAATTTAGCCCCATAATAACTTCCGATATTTGGGAGACATATATACCTCATATAATTAACAATTTATATTCAGACAATCATATTCTGAAAGTATCTGCTATAAGGTGTGTTTAAACATTTTACTAATTTTTATGGAATTTAAATTATTCATGCTTTAGGTCCGTAGCAATACAGACAGAGAACGTGCGAGATTCGGTTGTAACACGGCATCTTTTGGAACTCAGGCAGGCAATAATTACAGGACTTAATAGAGCTATACCTCTTGTTTCTCAACCAATTCAAGAACTTGGTTTGAGGGGCATAATTAATATAATAAAGGTATAACATGCAATTGATTTATTACGATTTTTTTTAAATTCAAGTTCTGAATTTTAGCGGGACCCTTTGTTTGTAACACAAATGAGAAGTGACTTAGTAAATTTAAGTGTTGGATGTTTTTGGAAGAACCTAAGTTACCATTATATTTTAAACAATTGTGAGACAATAGTTAAGTATTTGTGTTTGAATGAAGAAACAGTCAATGAAACACAAGAAACGATACTTCCTATTATCTTTGACTGCCTGAGTACACATCATCCTGTTAACCATTCAGTTACCATTCACAATGCACAGTCATGTGCCTTAGAACTTTTAGGGATTATTGTTATTAACTCCCCCTTGCCTCTTAGCGAAGTTTTATTACATCAGGGCTTTATGGCGACATATAAATGCATACTTTATGTAAACGACACTACAGTAATGCAGGTTCGTGTTTGTATTAGAATATATTTTGTTTTCAGTATCAGTGTAATTATTTAATTTTTGTTTATTTTAGAGTGGAACGAATTGTTTGCGTAATTTTTTGTTAAAAGCGTCTTCCCAAATTTATAATTTTGTCGATGGGGAGGGTCGTACTGGTGCAGATTATACCATAGACATTCTTAAGCATATATTGGATCCTCAAAAAATGGTCCTTGCGTGCAAACAAATTGGTCGTTTATGTATAACTGCGATGCATACTTTGGGCACACTTCTTAATTCACATATCGATTATTTACTTCGTTCGGTCTTAAGTAAGATGCAAAGAACTACGTTGATGGAGGAGCATTTAATTGTGATATTTGCATATCTCTTTTATTACAATATGCAGGATACGATGGAATTTTTAAATCAGATACCAGGTCCACAAGGCGAAAGTGCGCTGGTTTTCGTCTTGAATAAATGGTTGTCGAAACCATATGTTTACTACGGAAAATTTGAACTTCGTCTGAAGTAGGTATATTGCAAAAGAATGAAGTTTAGTAGAATTTAAAGGTTTATATTGTAGCATAATGGCCTTAGCTAAAATTCTTGAACATTCGCTGGTATCGAACGATAAAAGGTTATCGAATATTACCGTTCAGGGGGAGAATTTAAGCAATTCGATAATAATAATGGAAACACCAAATTCACGCTCGGGGATTTCCAGAGTAAGGCAAATACCTTTGCTGATGCATATATTCAAAACATTAGTTCAATTGCTGTGCCTTGAGTTACATCTGCTGGAATCTAATCAAATTTTTCATGTTTCTGGTCAGGTAAGTTAACTTAATGAAAATCTATTTCAGTATGTAACCGCGATATTAAAAAATATTTTTCCGTTGTTTTCGGTATTTAGTTAGATTTGACAATTGTAATATAAGCAGCAATGTGAAAGTTTAAAATTCTATCATATTTCTGCAGACTTCAGAGGATAATTTCGTAAGTTTAAATGGACATGAAAGTGACGATGAGACATTTGACGAAGAAGATTCTGACAGTGAAGAACTTAGTTCCCTAGAGTTTAAAGATCCCATATACAAAATGTCTATTAGTGATCTGCTGACTGATTATTTAAAGCAATTTTGCGGTACTAATTATTTTAAAAGATACAAAGATTTTCTAACAGAGCAAGAGAAAGATAGCCTTGTTGGGCTTGGTATTATTAAAAAAACCTAGCAAAATTTTACGGTACTATTACAAAATAATCTCATCGTCAGTTAACTAATTGTGTATATATTTTTGTAATTATTGTACAGTTCACCAATCGAGACTTTTTTAAAGAGAGATATCAAAAAGTGCATGCATCCATACATTTATTTGATAAATTGTTAAAAGTAGTTCCTTAAATTGAGCGTGTTTTACAAATAATTGCAAATTACCAGTGACAATTAAACCCAATAAAAGTTTAGGCTATACATTATTAATTTTGAACACAAAATTACTTATTGTTGGCTATGTAAAAATTTAAAAAGAAAACGTAAGATATACAATGATGAATGTTTTAAATCAGTTTCTATATTAATTTTTTTTCAAAAAGTCATTAAGTTGATTTATAATATTTCTTATGATGAAAAATTGAGAGGCTATTAAGATTGTATTATTTTTTATTTATATTTTTTTGTACTGTTGATATATATATATTTTTTGTATTTTACACACCTATATAACTCATACTGACCTTTATTCTTGAATCAGGTATGCTCGATTTGTTTTTTATATATATTTTGCAATTAATTTCTATTAAATATTTGAAAAAGATGTTTGATTTTTAATAATATAAGAAAATGCCTCAATTAATTATTAATAAAAAGACTGTAATACTTGTCAAAGGAACTATATTTTTTCTATCGTATAAAATACAATAAAATGTGCGTCATGTATTTCATATATAAACGTTAACCGACGATTGGCTTTTTGCGTTTTCTAATTCTATAGCTGCAATATATTCGCAAAAATATACTCAGAAATACCAGAAAAATTCCGAATACACCGAATAAACTGATTTTATGATGATAAATTACACAACTGAGTAGTATAGAGAAACCCTGTCTTATTGTTGTTATAATGGCAAAGACAAGAGGGCCAAACGTGGAAATTGTTTTAAATATAAATAGTTGACCTCCCGCCGAGCAAACTGATAACAGTACACAGTCAAAACAGAATTTTGGAAATTGCGTCATAAAATTAAAGGAGCTAATTAAACTTCCCTGTTGTAGTAACGATACCGCTGTAAAAGTGCAGGAAAATAAATTAATTGCGCACATCATTTGTAATGAACTCATTCCATACTGTTTAAAAAGTACTCCTTGCCAATTTGATGTAAAACTATCAAATATAACGTAGGAACAAAGGAGTAAAATACCAAAGAATGTTGTAGTTCTCGAGCCTAAAACAACATTTTTTTTAAATGATGTAAATGCACTATACACTTTTTACCATTATTTTCATCTCCACTGTTGAGCATAAAAAATAACATTCCTAGGGACAAAATAGATGCTGTTACATATTCATAAAATTCATATGTTGTCTTAGAAACTATTTTGCCCATTATCATTACAGGGATTGTTTTAGCTGCTTTTGCTAAAACCTAAAATAATAATTACACAAATATTTTCTCTTAATATTTGTAATCAACCTGATGTGGGAAAGAAACATATTTTAAAGCTTCATATTGACACCATGAGCTCATAATATTTGAGAAAGAGCAATAGACATATTTGTATAAAGG